TGTTTTCATTCTTACTGATATTTTGCTTTGAGACCTTTAACCCCAAGAAATGTAAAAAGCTTTTTAAATTTTGATGAGTTCAAAGTGAATTGTAGTGCGATTTTAATAAGATCGGTGTTACAAAAGTGTAGATAAAATATATGTAATGAGCAAATAAAAATATTATGCTGATTTGCAAGAATTAATTTGAAATTAATTTAATCACCAAATATGCACTTCGCAATAATAAAACTTCGACAAAGTGAATGGAACATTATGTCCAAATGTAAATACTTATTCAGTTTTTTATTACATATCAATTTTAATTAACTTATCAGTTTTCACTTCTGGAAGATTTGTAGTCGGTTCAATTCTTAATTCTTCATTTGACCTCCCTAAGAGGTCATAGAGCAGTAGAGATCATAGAGTTTTTTTTATCCGCACCTATCGTAAATTCATCGCATCGTCAAAGTTTCACTTCAATCGATCAAATTACCTTAGCTATTCAGGTAAACATTTTATATTGTTTTAAGCTAAATAATTAGTTACTCATACTTCATTAATTGAACACTTAATTTCTGTCAATTTCTGCAAATATTAAACAGATGTGAAGAATAAAATTTCACGATGACAAATTGATGAACATTATCAATTTTAGAGTCGACCGTCAATTGTGCATGTTAAGCCATCACAATCACGAAATTTCCCATTTGTACAAAGAAGTGGAGATGGTATTGCCATGCCAGCTTGTTATAGCGGGCAATTTCAGCAAGTTGGTTCTTTTATGTAATCAATGCATTATTAAGTTTTTATTTAGTAAAGCTTCTTTATCTAGTAATGAAAAAATCAACGATAAATTTTGTTATATCATCTCTTACCTAAAACACAGATGGATCTTGTACGTGAAATATTTTAGACTACGTCAATGACAGCAGCAACAGCAACAACGAGTGGTTCAATTGGAGGAAATGTGGCGATGAGTGGATATAATTATTATTCGATGCCAGCTTATTATACAACACCAGTTACACAGGTAAGTCTTGCTAGCTATTATTATTTCATGCATTACTAAGGTTGTGGAAAAGTCACCTTACATTTTGTTTTACCTCTTACCTGATGGATCTCGTACGTGAAATATTTTAGACTACGCCAGCAACAACGAGTGGTTCAATTGGAGGAAATGCGGCGATGAGTGGATATAATTATTATTCGATGACAGCTTATTATACAACATCAGTTACACAGGTAAGTCTTGCTAGCTATGATTATTTCATGCATTACTAAGGTTGTGGAAAAGTCACCTTGCATTTTATTTTACCTCTTACCTGATGGATCTTGTACGTGAAATATTTTAGACTACGTCAATGACAGCAGCAACAGCAACAACGAGTGGTTCAATTGGAGGAAATGTGGCAATGAGTGGATATAATTATTATTCGATGCCAGCTTATTATACAACATCAGTTACACAGGTAAGTCTTGCTAGCTATTATTATTTCATGCATTACTAAGGTTGTGGAAAAGTCACCTTACATTTTGTTTTACCTCTTACCTGATGTATCTCGTACGTGAAATATTTTAGACTACGCCAGCAACAACGAGTGGTTCAATTGGAGGAAATGCGGCGATGAGTGGATATAATTATTATTCGATGACAGCTTATTATACAACATCAGTTACACAGGTAAGTCTTGCTAGCTATGATTATTTCATGCATTACTAAGGTTGTGGAAAAGTCACCTTGCATTTTATTTTACCTCTTACCTGATGGATCTTGTACGTGAAATATTTTAGACTACGTCAATGACAGCAGCAACAGCAACAACGAGTGGTTCAATTGGAGGAAATGTGGCGATGAGTGGATATAATTATTATTCGATGCCAGCTTATTATACAACATCAGTTACAAAGGTAAGTCTTGCTAGCTATTATTATTTCATGTATTACTAAGATTATGGAAAAGTCACCTTACATTTTGTTTTACCTCTTACCTGATGTATCTCGTACGTGAAATATTTTAGACTACGCCAGCAGCAACGAGTGATTCAATTGGAGGAAATGCGGCGATGAGTGGATATAATTATTATTCGATGCCAGTTTATTATGTAGCATCAGTTGCACAGGTAACTATTGTAAGCTATTGTAATTTTTTCTTTTCTGGTAGTTATTGTTATTTTGTGCATTACTAGAGCTCTCGCCATGCCATATTTTTATTGCTAAGTCTACATTACGTGTAGTAGTATTGAAAAATTGCAACATATTATATTTGTATTATAATATTTTCCATTCATTTCCGTTTTCCAGACGATGCTATATAATCAAGCAGGAACGATATACGGTGCAAGTGGAAACATTGAACAACCAAGTGGATACGGTATTCCGATGTCTGGTTATTATCAAATGCTGGTATGTTTTTCATCTACTGTAAATAAATATGCTTATATTGTCTGAAATTTCAATTCCCAACTATTACTTCGTCATACTTTTATTTTTTCATACACTTAATCATTTTTATTTCATATATTTAGCGATTTAATCTTTGAAATAAATGTGACATTACAGAAACAATTAATTTCATTGTTTTTTTTTTTTCAAACGAAGGAAATTTATACATTAAATATGTATATATATTGTAGCAGGATCGGTCCACTGTAAATACACAATATGGCTCTGGTATGTTTTATGGTCAACAACCAGTTGTTTATCCATCTGTTGCACAAGCAACTGCATATTCTTCATTCCCACGAACTCATGAACAGGTGAGGATTTTCTCTTGTTCGTTATGATGACCTTACGTAAACTTCACTTCTGTTTTCTACGAACTTTGTTCTTTCCTTTGAACTTTGTTGTTCTTAGATGTCAATCTGGTCTGTTTGGAATGAATGGTACGGTCAGTCAAGAAATTATGTTTTACACAACAATGATGAATATCCGCCTCATCAAACATAAGTTGCTGATATTTGTGATTAACTTTTTTCTATTGAATCTCAATTTTTAATGCTACAGTCAGTCAACAAATCAAATTTTATACAGTAGGGATGAATATTCGACTTATCAAACAAATTTTTTCAATAATCTCTCAATTCCTTTCTTTCTTTCTTTGTTTCTTTTTTTTTTTTTTATCTATAAAAGTGGCAGCATTACTTGAATTTATCGATGTTTATATATGATCTTGATTGTATTTTTTATTGTTTTTGGATATGTGCGCAAAATTTGCACATAATTCACTACTGTTTATTGTTTGATGCTTATATATATATATGTTTTTTTTTTTCACGTGTACAATCGGGAACTGTACTATATTTTTCCACTGTTGCACTACTTTATTTATACTTGTATTTATTGACTTTATTTATACCTATATTTACTGCCGCCTAATAACTCATCATTTGCAATACATATTCAACATGTCGGTAAAGGATCTCGAAAGAAAATATAATTGTTTTTCACTACTTTATTACCTTATACTTGTATTTATTGATTGTACTACATTGATCTTTTTACAAATGAAGTTGCTGCCACTTAATCACTCGTTTGCAATACATATATTCGGTATATCGGAATAAAAAAAGTAGCGAATGTTGGAGGTGGTGCAGGGGAACTTTCATTCTCTCCAATTTTTGGGGATCAAAAGATCGGGATTGGAATTGTCATATAATCCTCATGTTCCATACCACCTCATACTGAAACTACGTCCAGTATGCAACGGAATCTATAAAAGATTTAGACTTTGATATCTATAGGAAACCTTTCAGAGAATCATACCACTTATTATTTTACAAATTGCAATTTGTTTTTTCATTATTCAAACATCATGTTCGCTTTGAACAGGCGATGATATCTATACTATAA